CCGCGCCCCTCCGCGCGGCCCCGCGGCGGCTCCGCTCGGCACGGCCGGGCAGGGGCGGCCGGAATCCGCTGGGAGATGCGGAACTCCCGTCCCACCTTCGCCCGCGTGCGGGGCGGGCAGCTCGCGAACAAGCTCCTCGAAACCGCCGCAGACCTTGGATCTCCTCCCTTTAAATAAACGCGGTGTCAGATAATGAGAAGATTCCTCTGTTCTATTGCTAACTGAATTCACATCTTTCCAAATAATGAGTATTTACATATATTTCTAATGAAAACCGTTCGCTATAGAGCTGCCAAAAAAATAAGGAAAAAAAATAAAGAAAAAAAAAAAGAGAGAGAGAGAAGCCGCTACTGGGAAACGGGGAGGACGGTGCCGCCCAGTCCCACGACGGCACCATCGCGATGAGATCTCTGCTCGCCTCCGCAAATGTGCTCCGCGATTTCCCCGCCTCGCGGTGCCCCCTGCACGTGGCAGCGACGAGCCCTGGGTTTCGCCGGCGGCACCGACCGGCTCGGCCAGGGAGCAGTCGGCGACGCTTCTTCTTGTCCCGCCGGCCCGGGAGCAGCCGGGCGGGCTGCGGGAGCCCAGCAGATCTTGAAGGGATTATCCAGCGCCTATTCCAGCTCCTCTTCACCTCGGCCGCTCCGCAGCGGCCAACAGCAGTTCTGTTTTAACGCCAGGAGTTGACATTATCAGCTACTTGCAGCATTGTTGAGCGCAGAGTGATTAGTGTGTCCATTCCTAAAACAGGTTCAGCGCTGGTCTTTGTGTAAATGAACCCGCACGGAGCGGTATAAATAGCTCCTATAGCTGAGGGAACCCTGCCAAGACACCCACGCGGCCGCCCGGAGAGGCATCTTTACATTGTGCTGGTAACAATGTGTGCAGCTCCAGGGATGCTCGGGGAGCCGGCCCGAGCAGGACGGGCGCGATGCGGCCCTCGGAGCCGCTGCGCTGGGCGGGAGCAGCCCACGCAGGGCGAGAACGCGGCGGGTTCCGGCTCCACGGAGGAGTTCGGGGCAAGGAGGAAGAGCAACCGCTCTCCAGGTAGGCACCCAAACCAAACCAAACACTGGCGATTTTTAGACCTTCCTTTCTGCGTGTTGTTTTAATACTACACTGTTCTGCTCACTAAAATCTTTTATAGACCCCGACAGACTTTCAATGAGAACAAGATGTTTTGCCCTTTAATATCGCATTATCAACAAAGCTCATTTGCTCTTTTTCAATGAATTATCCCTTTTATTTGTTTATTTCTTTGATCAACTATAAATGAAAGTTATTCGTGTATATAAAACTGAAGTTTTTACTGTTGAAATTGAACTGTACATGTTTACTACAGGAAAAAAATATCAACTCTTGTTTAACAAGACATTATACATCAATAAGCAATAACCTTGTGGAGGATTTGCAATCACCTGGTCTATAAAAACAAGCAGGACAAATAACAGCAATTTATATGCAAAAGTAATGATTTAATGACTATAAGCAAGACAAAGCAATAGAATTGTGCTTCTTTTGCAGACTGGAGACAATGAAATGTTTAACTACAATTTTCCCGTACAAACATGAAACAATATCCATATAGAATAAACACCCTCACAAATGTATAACTGATGGGTGATGAACACACACGAAGTTCGACCAAAGCAAAGCACAAACTGAAAAGTGTTCCGGGTTGTTCATATTTTATGCTGGAAAAGTTCCTTCTACTTGAAAAAAAAAATCTTAGAAGCCTCTATTAAAACGCTCCTATGTGCAGGCCATTAAAGAGGAGGCATTCTCCACAATTTATTGGAAATATTAAAGTACCTGTTAAACTTTAATGAAGTTAGTCCTGTACCATATACATATATATTAAAACAAATTTAGATAAAATGCCTTCATCCAGCCAATTGCTGGCTCCTTAAAATTTATACCAAATAGTTTATGGCTTCTATAATGATCCCGTGTGCTTTTAAAAACACAATCCCACCACGCAAAATAATAAAAACGTAATCAAACAGGTCAATTACTTCCATGTCCCTTAATTTCTTTTCTTCACTGCATCACTTCAACAACATTTGGTAAAGTAAAAATCTATCACTTGAAAAAAGACAAAGTCAGTAAAAAACTTTTAAGATTGCCAATTGCCTCCAGGTTATCCGAGACTTGAGTGTGCTTTCCCAATACTGTAGCTGTCACACACACACGGTGTTTCTCTCAGTACGAGCAAAGCTCAAACAAGTGGCATCTGCAAAGGTCGAACTAGAAATTTAACAACCATATCATGAGTGCATGAAACACAATATTTTCTTTATAGTATTTATAAATATATCATACAATACTGTTTCCTGTTATGTCATATACCAATATGGCATTGTACAATAAGCATAATGCCATCTGATTCTTACAAAAGCGAATCATTTAAACAAGTCAGTAAATAAAACGGTAATACCCGCTTTTAGGCATACAGATTGTAAAACTGAAGTTTACTTTTCTTTTGATCGGTTCTGCGCAGCAACAGAGAATTAAAGATGCAACATAAGAATCAAAATGGCTAATACGCAAAAATTGTTATTCACAGTGACATGGCTACATATATGCATTATTCTATGCATATTCTTTCTGTTTTGTTGAATTTCAAGATGAAAAAGCACTTGCTTTCTACAGGTTCACAAAACAGTATAACAATAACAATTGAAGAGAACGCAATGGAGGAGTTAGTCTGGATTAACAAACTACTTCCCAGGATTTGAGCTGACTTCTGGAGAGTCCCAGGTCTGGATGATGGGGACGGAAACAACTCCACATAATTCCAAACACGTGAAGGTGTAAATTTTGTTTGCTTCCCAGTCCTTTGAAAACAATTTACATATCAATCTTGCGTTTTAATTAACGTCCATATTGAATGTCACCTAGTCCGCCTTTCATAGCCAAGTTCAGTGTCACTACAAAAGAAAGCAATTTGGACGATAGTCACATGTATTAGCATCTATAAAGCTGTAATGGCATGAAGAGATCTATATAAATGAGGGGCGGGGGCGGGAGTCTCGCGGGCGAGTCAGCCGGACGAGGTGGCTGAGGAGCCGTTTATGGAGGTCTTCCGCGCTCTGTTGGTGAAGGAGGACTGGTGGTTACTACTGGGGCTGCTGCTGGTGCCATTCATGGTGCTGGAGATGTGCGGGAACTGCGGGTGAGGAGACTGCACCGGGGTGCTGGGACTGGGCAGGCACGAGGAGGTGGAGGGGAGGCCTCCCGCCGGGCTGCTCGCCTTGTCGCTCCCAGAGTCACTTTCCAGCTCCCCGCTGTTATTCAAGCCCTCCCGCTGGTGGCTGATCTTCATTCTCTTGCAAGTGGGTCGCACTCGGTACTTGAGGGGCAGCGGCCCATTCTGCAAGGCAAAGAGAAGAGCCCGTGAGCGGCCTCGCAGGCCCGGCGCGCCGGAGGGGGAGCCGCCGCTAGTTACCCGTCTCCAAGTGTAGATGTAGGCAATGTCCATTAGCGTGTAGTAGTCCTTCAACGGCTCCTCCTCGTACATCACATCGATCTGGTGAAGACATTAACCCTCCCATTAACAAGAGCACAGGTATTTACCACTTACACATGCCTTTTTTTTTTTGTGTGTGTGTGTGTGGTGAAAGGGTCCCCAAACCAGTAGTTCAGAAATTTTAAAAAATGCCCTATCAAAAAAAAAAAAACCCATAAAAAAAAAAAAAAAAAAAAAAAAGAAAAGAAAAGAAAAAGCAGGCAAGGGCAAAGAGGATTTTTGCACGCATTGGGTAGTTTTTAAATATGTTAGGGTACTCACTCTTCTATGAGGTATTTTAAAATATCCTCCCATCAACACACTGTACAATTGCACAAGCAATAGCTCAGTGGCTATTGCTTGATAGAACTCAGTCAAACAAGCAATTAAAAATGTAAACTAATTTAAGAAAAGTGCCAGCCAGCATTAGCATATTCTGAATATGGAGACTATTACTACTACTTAAAAAAAAATCACTCTTTTAGGTACCTGGAAAGTATTTGGTATGTCCATTTTACTCCGCAGGAACTTCCTTAGATGCATCACAGTCATTGCTGCCGGGCAGCGTAAGTATCTTTTGTCATTCACCTAGTGATACATTAAAGAAAATCAGTCAGCTGAGAATAAGCAATTACTTCCACCAAAGTTACACACTAATATTCTAGGTGAGTTTTTAAATGTACACACATTGCTAAATTATGAACTATAATGTAATGATTTTGAAGGCAGCTTGAAGAACATCAGAATAGGCAAATTAAAGTTGCAAGGAAAATAACAAAAAAACAAGTAATTTTATGCATAAACAGAATTATATTCATACTAAAGCTCTTCTTTTTTAACATACATTTATTGCCTTTTTGTTTTAAGAATTAAATAAAAGATCTGGTTCAACTTTAAAATTAATATTGCTTTTTTCCTCAGGGTTGTTTATATATAATATAAGAAGCTACTCTACCTCTTCCATACTTGGTATCATAACAGCATGCGTGCTTCTTTTGCTCTGGATATAAATATCAATATATAGTGCTCAACCACAAACCTGCCCAAAAGATGTTTGCGTGTGCTATGTTTCCTCTAAGTAAAGGAAAGTTACTTACCTCTTCCTTTGATTTTTCTTTCTCCTTATTTCCTTTTCGCTCCAGCCTGTGAAAAGGAATGAAACAATTACAACAAATAATAAGCAAAGCCGCTAAGAGTCAGATAAACATAAAATATTGCCATTCTGGAACTTGCCTATTCTGGTCAAAGAATTCAATGGATAAGCTTATTATCTCGTCGTCTGTTATAATTCTTTTGTCTTCGTCAGCCACTTCTCCCCTGTCTTCATTAGAGCCATTGGCAGCTGCGCAGAAATTTCCACAATAATTTACATTTTGAAATTCAAATCAGGAAGAATGGCAATTCTCAGTAACAAGGAAAAAAAAATCTCCACACTAAGATTATAAATTAAATCTACCTAACTGCTAAAATGGTAAACTTTGGTTATGCTGAACGTACTTTTTAAAATGCATTCATGGAAATACATAATTTTTAAGTTAAAAAGGAAATAGCGAAACACCTAGGTCTGCACTATTTTATTAAAGTTGCGAACGAGAAGCTATTACCATCAGCTGACGGATGAGCAGCATAAAAATCCCTTCTTCTTTTCATTTCATCTAAATGGAAAAGCATATATTTTTCTTTTAGTATACACACGGCAACTCCAGGAAAGGATACAGGATAGCAGTTCTGTCCTTGTTTTGCTGCAATTTTAACTACTTACTTTTGAAAAGGCCTGGCACTAGCTTGTATACAATATCTTGCAGAGTTTTATCTGACCTGAAAAAAATAAAATTAAGCAGATGAAGCAGTATTTCAACTCAAGTGGCAGCTCCTCCTTTGCAATCTCTCAGTGAGACCTCTTCTACAAAGTGGAATGCTACTCCTCAGAAGTTAACTGACAAACTTAATAAGCAAAGTAACACTGCTTTAAACACTGCTATAAAACTGGAGAAAAATCCCTAAGTTGTGACACAGTAATTGAAAAATAATTCTCCCAGATTGAAGAAAGGCCCTAAAACACCACGTTTCCCTCCCCCCGCCAAAAGGAAAAGACAGAACACCGCAAAGTAGCACTGGAAAAAAATAATACTTCTGAAACAAGAATTTTGCTTTAAAGACTTTTAGCTTCAAGTTTCAGCAAGAGGTTTCACTGCTAAGGTCTACGGCTTGATTGAAATATGTCTGTGGAAAACACAGAGTGGAGAGCGAAAGTGTGGGATCGGGGTGCTTGGGAAGGCAGCAGAGGGAGAAGGCGGCGCGCCGGGGGCTTGCTTAGGCAAAAACAGAATAAATAAAAAGCCCAACAACAGTTTTCAGCCTCTCTTCCAGTGAAATCTCCTGTTTCCATCAATGACAAAACTCCAAAGAGGGAGCATACGCACAGGTTAGCTTGTAAACTGACAAGTCCTTTCAGATTTAAATCAGAGATGGGGAGATAACATCAGCACAATTACTGCCAGTCCCTCCTTATCAGGCAGAACGAGACATACGCGACGGACATTGCGTCTTTCTCCTACCTTATATTCAAAAGCGGCCGAGTTTTGTGCACTTGGACATCACAAATGGGACAATACTTGCTTGTCTCCAAGTAGCGCACGATACACGTCTTACAGACTGCAAGTCAAACACGCAAGGCTGTTAGTAGCCGTCCGAGGTGACACCCCGACATGCTCGGAGAGAGGGGCGATTCTCCGAGCTATGCGAGCGAGCGAACCGCCCTTTGTGACGAGCGCGCTGCTTAAGCTAAACAAATACTCAAATAAGCTGCAATTAACATGAAAAGGAGACGCTCGGAGTACATATATTGGGAGTTTAACAAAGAACGCGGGGCCGGTGTCAGAGGGCCCGCCCGGTACCGCGTTTGGCGGCGCTGCGCGGGGCGCTGCGCGGGGCGCGCGCC